AACCGGGACAGATATTCTAAGAATGATTAATTTTCACATTTTTTATTTGTAAAAAATGTGAAAAGGACTTTCTTGAATTTTTTAAATTAGATAAATTGTGTTGTTTTCTTTCAAAATAATTGATATAACGACAACCATCCCTAGGTAACAGTTTGACACAAACCATGCTTAAGACACGATAATTCAGAGTAAGACCAAACGCGGAGAATGTCACCGGACTTTGCAAAATTTGAATACCAAACTGTTGAATCTGAAACAATTGTGAGCGATAGTTGTATAATACAATAACACAAAAGAAATCACTTTTAATGTATAGTAATAAACGCACCTCTTCTCGCATATCAATATCTGCGTTGCAACCATAAATCGCATGAATAATTTCGATAGTTTTGTTACCCTACAAATAAATGTTATGTATAAGTTACCTTATCAAGATCGTTGATTAGATAATGATGGACGAAACAAATACCTCATTGGCTGCATTCTTGCAAACGCGATTCAAAGAAATGGCCTTTATAATTTGAAGAGAACACAATGTTAACGTCACAAATGTATCTCCTACTAAACCTTTGACTTTGTGTTGGTTCATAATGAATCGAATGTACAAATTATAAAGACCTCCAGTGATAAACATGATAATTACTCCCATCTCCCAAGCTATCTGTACCCCGAGAATAGTGCAAACTAGTTTTGATACTTTACACAACTCCAAGTGCACCTGTCTTAAAAACAATCAAAGGCAATCAGAAATATTTTTTGTTAAACAATTTTTTTGCTTCTCAGAAGTTTTTAAGAAATTTGAATTAAATCTTTCTAAGTGTTTGCATGAAATCACAAATTATGAATATGATAATGGCACACTTAAAGAAATTTGAATCAATTTTTACTTAGGAAAAACTGAATTTATATATCTAGGCATTATACAAGCCATATATATTTTTCTTTTATAGAATTTATTTCATAACAAAGTATTTAATAATTGCCGGTACTCACTTCATTACTTGTAGCATATGTTTATGACATTTTGTCATCGTGGAAGTATGCCTGCGAGATTGATTCTGGAATATACTTGTGTGGAAATTATTGGGAAATTGTTTTTTGGTGTGAGATTCAATCTGATATACGATCGGATCTTGCTTTTCTAACGTAGAAACATTTATTCGAGATTGCATCCCCGGACGCCTCTGAAATACCGCCTCCGTAGAAAGAACTTGCTTTCGTCGGTCGGTACCCATGCTTTTACATAAATCTTCAATTTCAAAGATGCCCAATTTCGTCTCTTTCATTGACGAATCTGTTAAGCTTCCACGCAAGAGTTGATTGACCAATCCGAATTTTATTTCTAAGCATCTATATTATTTTATAATAGTATGTTAAATATGATATGTATATTTAAAAAATATATTGTCTATGAAATTATGACAACTTGTCTTACGTTCGCGAAGCAAACAACAAAATTATAAACAAAAATGCTTAATAATAAGAAACAAAATTACAAAAAAGATTGATATAGTTAATATAATTTAACGTAAATATAATCTCTTGATAAGTTATGTTATATGAAATACAGTCTCGGTTATTAATTTTTTACATATTGATTAGTGAATACGTCCAATAAGTATACATAAATGTTTCAATTACTTAAAGTGCCGATTTACATACCTTGCAAACATGTAAAATTCAAAGACATTAATAGAGTTGACAGAGAACGAATACGTTAATACGAATATAAGGTAAATTGTAGTAAATACGTCCGTGCGGATTTTCAAGTGAAAGAAAATCACAGTGCACACAATAAAGGCGACTGAAATCCAGACGGTTATGGTTCCGATCGTCGCGTAATATATTCTGTCGTAATTCACTGTTAATCCCAGTTGTCGCAGTGTTTCATCGATTTCGAAGATTTTCTTGTGGCAAATTTTGAATTTCTATAAATATCAATTTATAATAAGACGGTATTATAATTTATACAGACGCACAGTTTTATTCTAAAATTATATTGTATAGTTGTATGTCGAGATTCTAAAATTATATTGTATAGTTGTATGTCGAAGCACATTGTTTTGCTGACTCACCTTTGTATGCCACCAGCCTAGCAACATCTTCATTATCACAGACGCGATAATGACATACGTCAATAATTGGTACAAAATATATTCCAGCTTCATCAGTCTTATGTTTGCATAGTATATTTCATGCACGCGCAACGAGCCATTGAAATATATGATGTAAAGAAACAAGAGATAGATCAGACTGAGTATAGGTCTTGGATGACCACGTGGGTATTCAAAAACACGAAGTCCCAATAAACAGCTAACAGTTGTCACCAATGCTATCGCCTCGGAGAAGTGCTTAGGACTTGTAAATCGCTTCATTTCATCAGATCTCTCTCTCTCTCTCTCTCTCTCTATCGACTGATATTCATCGATTATTATTTACTTGGACAATTTATCTTCGTTATTAGTTTTCAGTTTATCCAACATTTGAGATGTTCAAAATGAGATCGATATAGTATTCAGGATCAAAATAGTCGCACTTTTTTCGCAGTTTCTTATCGATTTTCGTATCAATGTCGGTGTACGTGGACGGACTGAGCGCTTTGCAGACTTAGCAAAATATTGTTGATTTGATTTTCGTGATTCTCTTGACGGTGCCAAACACTTTACATTTCCTCAACCGATAACTTGCTTACTCGTTCCCGTGTCTCAGCGCTAATTGCGGCTGTATATTAATTCCAGCATTGATAACTTTCCTCTTTTTTCTTCCTCTTTGCACTAGATTAACCGTAAATCACGCAACGGATTATGTTTCCTGATATATATCAGAATGGTAGATGATTATATCAGGTCGGACACGATTCACTGTCTTCTCTCGCTGCTTATTTTCCTGCAGCCGACGCTCCACTTCTGTCGATTGAAGAATCGTTCTCGAACTCACGAGGGATTATTATAAAGAACGCGGCTGCTAAATGAACGCGCGCAAACGAGCCCCGCCCAACAGCTTTGTCTATATGCTACGTCTGTGTCTACCATTTATATTTATAATGAGTCAACTCTGCCGCGAAGCAATTTGTACAAACGTGCGCGCTGGTATCGGTTTTTAATATTTTAATATTGGTAATGTCACAAGGGACCGTTCAGGATCTGTTATGACGTTAATACCCATATGTGCTGAAAGAAGATAATTACTGGCAAAAGATCGTTGCTGAATATGCGCTGCACGAGAGAAAAGCAGCTGAAGATGAATCAATGGATTTGTAACATACTGCTTAACAAATACAAATTCGATTAAACAAACTGCTATAATATGCTATTATGTTTTGTGTCAAAGCATTGCAACTTTTACGTTACGTAAAAACTACTATGCCCCCAGCGGCGAATTTTTTTGCCTTGAGGGAGTTGTTCTTTGTTTAAATAATGCCGCTCAGAGTAATCGAGATCTCGAAAGACTCAAGACCAATCATAGCGCTTTTCCCTCGTTTTCTTTTGTCCGCTCGGGCTCCTGCGGTTGCGAGGTGGCGGTTGCTAGGGTCGGTTGTTGATCCTTCCTTCTTCTTGAATCTTTCGGTGCAAGTGGCTGTGTTTTAACTCAGATTGAGAAAGTCATATTCTAAAAACTAACAAGGAAGACGAGGTGATCCGGTGTGGTTTCGGATGTTACACCATCTCTTGTCTGACAACGTCTGGGAGTCTCAAAGTTATCAACGTCACGGAAAACCATTCATTCCAAGGAGCACGCATGAGACTGGATTTCATACAATCATCAAATTGCCGAAGAGAAAAGCTAAGTGCAAGGATCGGTTCGGGTGTAGCTACGTCTCTTTTTTTAGTGTCCTCGGATCAGGGCTAACTCTCATCCTCTTGCGAACTGGATGAAGTTCATCGCTAGAGGATAGATCCGAGAGACTTCTCAGAGCTCACCCTGAAGGACTCATTCTCAGAGCCGATTCTCTCTCTTTCTGTCTCTTGTGTAGCATCTCTCTCAACAATACCTCAGAGTCATATCGCTCTCATAGTACATATATTACATTGAGATTAAGTTCAAGAACGTTCTGCTCTCAC